TTTTTGCTCTTTCTTTAATTCGACCTTAGACATTTTGATGTCCACGTTCGGAGATGGGAATATGGAGTTATCACTGGAGGTGAGAGGCTCCATCTCTTGAATGTGCCCTGCAGACTAGTGCCCCTGTGTGTGCCCCAGACCCTGCGTGCTGCTCTGCTGGGTTACGAGTCTCACTGGGTTGCGGGGGAGGGAGACATGTAGATACTCTTCAGACAAGATCTGTGCCCTCCACTGCTGTGGGGAGCGGGGGTGCACCCTCTAGTGGTGTTTGTCTGTGTCTGTGTGCACACGCCCTCTAGTGGTGTGAGTGCACGTTTGTGTTTGTCCACCCACATGCGCCCTCTAGTGTTCAGAACAGAGGTGCTATACTGCTAACAGTTAATAGGGATTCTCCTTCAGCTCATCTGTCAGTGACCTGAGTTTTTCAGGCAACAGGATCTGGGCTCTATCCCTGCCCTGCCAGACATTTCTGAGCAGCTGCCGAATGCAGCATAGAGACAGCTTAGGCTGCCGTGGGCTTGTGACAATGTTGTTCCCTGGCATCTGTAATAGAGGGACAGGGGAGCGGGAGCGAAGAAGGAAGGACAAAGGGTTCTAGCCCCAGTTGGATTCAGGTGCCAGTGGGGCCCCGATTCAGCCTCAGAGGACCCCCTTTGTAAAAGGCTCCCCCTCTGAGAGTACTGCAGCCCCCTGAACTGGGAGAGGCTGTGATGCCCGACACCCTCTGGGAACACACGGGACGTGGCACCTGAACCCCCGGACTCCTCGCTCCCAGGGCTTTTCCTTTCCTGTCTCCAGAACGTGACTCTCCATTTCAATGCCGTCCTGAACAGCACCTCCCTCTGGGATGGCGGAGACAAGGGGGACGTGGGGTCAGCCGTGACGGTCCTACTGCAGAGCGTAGAACTGGCCTCACTGGCCACTGCGCTCCGGTCTGCAGAGAGGACAACACAGAACATGACGACAGAGTCTATGGGTGAGGGGTGATCTGCTGGCTGCCGTGAGATACGGGGTTACACACTGTGCCCCAAATCCACTGGAAATTAGAGCCTATATACCATTGTGGATGTGAGCCTGTGTTCAGTACAGACACAGACCAGCACTGCCCCTGCACCAGGAAATATAACCCAGACCCACCAGTGCCCCCGGAGCAACAGCAATGACCAAGAAGGGTTTAAATGTAATATTTGGTATTCCACTAGGGGCTGCCATGCTGAGCCAGTCACCTCCCCCCACTCTCACTACTCCCCCTGCTGGGGACGCAGCATCCACAGGGAGACAGAGCCAGAATGGGGGGAGGGGATACGGGGTTGATCAATGGAACCAAGGGGGGGGCTCCAAACGTCCCCCTCCCACAGTGCGGAAGAGCCCTGAAGCCCCCCAGCTCCAAGTGGAGTGGGAGGGGGGTGGATCTGGCCCAGAATGGACAGATTCCCAGGGAAATGGTTTCACAGCTATGGGCTCTGTCATTCCTCACCCCCACCCCCTGCAGCTGTCGAGACGCGGCTCGTCACAGGGAACTGCAGCCGGGACAGTGAGGTCTTCACACTGAGAGCTCACGAGGAGATGATGGACGTGCACTGTGATACAGTCACCGGGGCAGCCACACGAGGTACCATCCTGGGGATGGAGACACCCAGGGCCCAAACCACTGCACAGACCAGTTCCTGGGCACTGAACCCCAGTCTGGGTTCCCCCGTTCCTCCCTCCCTCCCCATGGATCCCCAGGCCGGGCCCTGGCCTGTCTCTAGCCCTGGAGGGCTCTTGCTGGCTGAGCCAGTGGTTCTCAGGCTGTGGCCATGGAGCTGACACCTTCGTTCCTGCCTGTCCCACAGCTTGAGCCCCGAGCAGTGAGGAGTTGGGGGCAGAGGGGAGATGCTCATGAGAGGGTCTCTGGTATGAAGTGGGCCCAGAGAATGGAAAGGGCAGGGACGCCCTAGTCTAGCCAGACCCCCAAATGGAGATGTGGTGACCAGGGTAACGTGTACCCTCAGCTGCCATATTCAGGGCCCGGAATCCTCCAGCACCAGGGGAAGCTCATCCCTGGCCAGCTCCTCTCCTGGTCTCCCTGAGAAAATCTGTATCTTCATCTCTGCATCCTGCAGCTCGACGTTTCCAGCCGGACGCGTTCCTGGGGGCTCCGAGGGAGGAGGTAGCACAGTCCAGTGGTTAAACCTTAAGAGTTGTGGCCAGGATCCTGGGTTCCATTCCCAGATCTGCCACAGACTCACTGTGACCCCTGGGCACCCGGCCGGTCCTTCTTTGCCATAGCGTCCCCAGCTCCCTAACGAGGGATCATCTCCTCTCCCAGCAGGTTTGGGGTCTCCTGCTTTTATTTCCTACTCCACCCTGGACTCCATCATCAGTGCGAGACGTCTCAGCGAGGGAAATCTACCGGCTGGTGGGAAGCTGGAGAAGAGTCATCTCAACTCCAGGGTGGTGAGTGGGGCCGTCGGAGACGGGAGACCCATTAACCTCTCCAGACCCGCAAACTTCACCCTGCGCCACAGACAGGTGCGTGAAGGAAAAGCCTCTCGCTTTGCTCCATATCTGGGGCTCCAGAGGGGCCTATAGAAGGCACCATCTCCTGCTGGGCATTTGGACCGTGCTGCCTTTCTGGCTATCAATGATCCTGAGAAGAGGAGGCCTCCTTATTCCTGATGAGTTGGGGCTGTTTTCCTGGAGGAGGTTACCGGGAGTCACACCACGACACATGGCTATGCAAAGTGCTCAAGGGTAACAGCTCCGCCCAGCTCACCCCTGAGCCGGAATAACTGGAAAGCCGCTTTCTGTAGAGATTGGGGTTGAGGGAATCAGCATGAAACACTTTGATACAGTAATGAAGTGGTTAGGGTGCATATGTGTATGTGTGCACAGAGCACTGCCCTCTGCTGGATGCAGTCAGAACTGCTCAGCCATGTGCCACGTTCCTTATAGTGCTAACGGCTAGCAAGGGTTTATTTCGCTTGCACTCCAAAAGCAGGGCCTGTCCTTTTGGAGCAGTGGGTTCTCCGTTCTCTCTCTACTGTCACCGGGATGGCCCCAGTGGGCACTGGGGGCTGCGTGGGGAGAGCCGTGGAGCTGTAGGTGGCCTCAGGTTTGCTGTAGACATGTGATAACATAAAGGACATCCTGTGGTCCCATGAGGATGAGGATGATTCTGTTGTATTTCCAGACCAAAAAAGAGGAGGAAGAGGCTCTCTGTGTCTACTGGAAAGTAGAGGCTGAGAAGGGCAGCTGGTCTCCGGACGGCTGCACCGCCGTGCACATGAACAGCACTCACACCAACTGCAGCTGTGACCATCTCTCCAGCTTCGCTGTCCTAATGGCTCCCACCACAGTGACGGTATCTCACCGTGAGACTCGATCACACGGCTGGACCCTGAGCTCCGCACTCAGCCGTGGGCAAAGCTCTCCATGGAGCGACTGGAGACTTTGCTGGGGAAAAGGCTGAGTCGGAGCTGAGGGGGCTGGGCTGGGGTCACTGGTGATTGTCCCTTTGCTGTGTTAGAGGAGAGTTACCCACTGACCATCATCACATACGTGGGACTGACCCTCTCCCTGCTGTGCCTCTTCCTCGCCATCCTCACCTTCCTCCTGTGCCGCTTCATCCGCAACGTCAGCACCTCCCTCCATCTGCAGCTCTGCCTCTGCCTCTTCCTGGCCGACCTGCTCTTCCTCACCACGGTGACTCCCACCGGCAGTCAGGTACGGCCTGATTCTCCCCTGCTCTGTTCCTCCAGCAGGGCTGGGGTATGTGGTTTGAACCCCTTTGTTCTCCCTGGATTCTAGGCTGTGCAGGGCACAGGGGGGACTCCCAGGGGCGGATTTTCCCATTAGGCCCCTTCACACTGGGCACATTGGGCTGAGTGTCCCCAAACCCTGGACTTCAGCCAGTTCTATCCCTATTTCACATTCTCCCTGTGCCTCGATTTCTCTCCTATGTGACTTGCCAATGGTCAACCAGGGACTCTGTGGCAGGGGTGGGGACCGAAACC